CCCCAAAACCCCAAAACCCCAAAACCCCAAAACCCCGGTGTATTGGATACAAGTTGAAATACTCTTAATAGTGAGATTAGGGTTGGTTGGTAGTAATAGTGTGGAAGGGAGAGTGATTTGGATGTGGTTTTGGGGATTTTAGTAGGGATAAGTTTTGTTTAAAAGTTAGGTTAGTGATGTTGGAGGCCAAATTAGGAATTTAGGGTTTAAGGGGTTAAAATCAAATGAAGAATATTACAAATTTAGAAATAAAATCCAAACCTAAAAACTCACATATTTTCCAACATTTTCAATTCACAAAGACCTCCCTCTTGAAATCATCATTAATCCCATCTCCACCATAAAACCCCCAATAACCACAAACCACCCCACAAAACCCAACCTCATTCCCAATCCCTAAAAACCTAACCCACAATCTCCCACATCCACGCCTTATCCACCCAACCTCTCCTCCAAATCCCCAAATCCCCAATCCCACACCCCAAATTCCTTCTTAACCCCTACTCAGAAGTAACAATATGTCTCAACTCAAAGCTGAAATCCATCCCTTGATCATGAATGTACTCATTTAACTTCTCTGGGATCAGCTTCAAGGCATTTCTGAATTTTTTAGTGTAGAAATTGTGGAGGCCAGTGCTGTCGATTAGGTGGAGAGTGAGGGAGGAAAGGTTTTTGTGGATGGAAGAGGTCTTGAGGAGGTCGATGAAGGATAGGGTTACTGTGTGGAGGCTTTTAGGGATGTATTCGTACTTTCTTGGACCTTTGGGGAGGTAGATTATGTTCTCCAGGAGTATAATGTGGGTTATTTTACTTTTTGGCTTTTTATTTATTTCAACAGTACTTTTTGTCTCTCCAGCGATCAGATTAGACAGGGTTACTTTTTGGAGAGTTTTTACCTTGCATAAAGCTTCAAAAGCTCTCTTCATGGTTGGATTTTTGAATTGAATTATAACGTTTAGATCTTTGATTTCAAAAAATTGGGTTAATTGATCATTAAGAGATGATGCTCCCAAAATATCATAATCAATGATTAATTTTTCGAAAGGAATCTGAGAGAATTCTGATTCTGTTACTTCTTGGTATTTTTCATAAATATGATGTAAGAATTCATTTACTTTGCTACAGAAATCATTTGTTTTACCAACATCCTTTGGTCAGGAGGAATATTCATAAAACTTTAAATATAAAGACCTAAATTGTGGAATAACTAAATCTTCTTTGATAACATTCTCTATGAACAAAGAAGGAGACACTTGTGAGATATAAGTAAACTGAAGATTAACATCACTCGGAATATACGCTTTCGAATCAAAATACCTCCTCACAAGCTGCATTACTCTCCATCCTTGTCCCAACACAAGCTTCTCTAACTCCCTAAACTCCTCCTCCCTCTTCTCATAATACTCCTTAGTCTCTCTTCACAACAACCTCATCAGCCACTGCCAGTGTATCATTCCTCCCACAAAGACCAAAATCTCAAATCAGCTGCCTCTCTTCGTGAGCAGGCTTACAATCTTTTGGCACCTACTTTCTCCATAAGTTTCCATTTGTTTTATTTATCCAATGGTTGGGGATTAATTTGGGGTTTTGGGGTTTTGGGGTTTTGGGG